TATTAAACCTTCCCTAGATCTACACCAGGGACATGTAAAAACAGCAAGGAGAAATAGGAAAAGCAATACCCTATACAGTCCTAAAAGTTAACTGTATAATTTTAAAGTCATCCCTAAGGAAGCTGGTTTTAGTGTACACAGGACTATTAGATGCACTGTAAATACCTGCTATGGCTGAACTGAGAGAAGACTGCATCACCCAGTTCAGTTTAGATTAATTTATCACAGGCATACTAGAAAATATTTTACAAGTTTGTAGTCCTTTGGGTGAATTACTCTGCTCTGCTGTGGCCCTTTCTCTTGGTTTGTTGCAGGAATTTTTAAATGAAAAAAAAAATTACATAACACATGTCAAATGGGAAGGGAGAGTTTATCTATAGGGTAACATCTGTTGCCCTCATGCCATGCCTTAGAGGCCATGATGTAGATACTCAAAGGACAGATTGAAACCATAACATGGCCAGACAGATGTTATGACCATTATCCCGAACTGCCAAGATGCCATGGAAATGTTGTGTTCTGGGATAACAGCATTTGCCATATTGGATAAGTCTTTTTATGCCCTGACATATAAAATAATAAGTTCAGAGTGGCTTTAAACCAAACTGTTAAACCCAAACTGCTCTACAGTGTGAGTCTCCTGACATTTATATTATTAAAAAAGAGAGAGAATATTGTGGTACTAGACAAAAAGTAGCTTTGTTTTCATCTCATGATGGTGCATTGGGAAGCCAAGTGAACTGAACGGCACACTGTCAAATAGTGGCTGTGGAAGCACTGAAATTTTTAATCAGAAACACATCCAGAAGTTAATTATATTGCCCACATTCTGCTCTCATTTATGCTAGTGGAACCACATTAGCTTGAATAACTGGCAGTTCTGAACAGATATTATGAAAGGCTTATGAAAAACTCACTAAAAACCCCCTTCTATTCTAACCCAAAGACCAAAGACTGTAAGAGGATCTTTTAAGGGATGTGTGGGCATGGGGCAGTGCAGAAAGAGAGGATGCATTTTACCTTTTTCTTACACTGTGCATAGAGACAAGATAGAGTTCCTGTTTACACTGGAAAATCTGAGAATTCTAAAAAGCATAATGCTTTTGGAGTTGTAAACTGAAACTAAATCAGCAAATTGGTTTTTATTAATTTTTTATTAAATTCAGTTAAACCAATTTTTATTATTAGTTTTCAAATTAAGCTTTGGATATTTGCTGCAAGCTGCCTAGCATTTCTTTCCTAAAAGCACCAGTTTTGCATGATGGAACAGCGACTCCATGTGATAAAGGGTGCATGTTGTAAAGCTGATTTTCTATTGAAATGGCCTACGTAGCTAGGTACCATTGCTTTAAAAATAGTGAAAGATTTTCTCATTCATTGAAGTGTCATTTTTAAGTTGTTAAAAAGTAAGAGCAACAATGCACTTATTCTCTGTATGTCAGAGAAGACTGAGTGCAAAATCTGTCCAGAATAAGATCCTTATTAAACACAAAGAGGTAGATTTTCAGTTGCTGCACATCAGCATAGTTCCGCTGGTTTGTCAGCTATGCTGATTTTCATCAGCTGAAAGTCAAGGACTGAACATGTCCCACTATGAGTTAATGGCATGCGGCATCTCATAGAAGATTCTCTAAAGACAAGAATCTTGCTCCTTTTCTCATAAATGAGTTCCCCAGAACAGCTTGATTTCATCAATCTTCTTTCTAACTTCTCTTCCATCTTCTTCCCATGTCACCAACAGGGAACTTTTGTTCAAGTTTAATAATGCACTACTGTATTATGATATTTCTTGGGTATAGTAAAACTTTGGCCACAATTCATGAAAGGTGTTATTTAGGTCACTCTTTATCTCGATGCATTGATTTATGCTCATCTCACTCTGCCTGCTTTTAAGGCTCATCTACACTTGAAAATTAATTTGGATTAAGCTGGGTGTGAATTTAAAATCACAGTCACTATTTTTGAATAACTCTATGTGTGGACAAGCCCTAAAATAACTCAGGACAGCTATGGGAATGGGAAACACCAGACTTCCCCTTTCTTGGCAAGAGGCTTCATGGCATTTGAGCTTTGAGCTTTTCTCTTCTCCAAGACATGCAGGGAAGAGAATAGAACCCGTTTACCACATCGGTATTGAATAGGATTAAAAGGGCCAGCAGTTTCTCTTCAATGGCATTTTCCTATTTCTATCTTCATCACCTGCCTCAACATGGATAGAGTGAGGATTCTGACTCTACCCTCTTTTTCTGTTCTCCATATGGGTAAGATCCATCATGGCAGAAAAGAAGTGTAAGTGAAACAACAGTAGCTTAATAAAATGAATAGCTTAAACTATATTGTGAGGAGCTGTGAACACCAAGGAGAATAATTGATGCAAAGGGGCATAGAGACAACTAGAAATATGAGCAGTAAACAACAAAAGAGGATTCAGTTTAGGAAAATGCAACCTCAAAAAAATTAATTAAGATGTACAAATGTGGAAACATCATGTTGAAAGAAACACGGGCAGCAAATTAAATGGGAGCTATGTGGCAGCAAAAAGAAGCGAAGCTTTTACAAAATTGATTTGATCTCTAAGTATGCCAGAGAATTCCATCAAGTAATTAATTGGATAACATTCATGATATATTTGAATTAGTTTAGTAGCGTACCCAGTTTTTAGAAGTGGACAAATAATTCACAAACTAGGTTGCTGAAGCACACATATGTGGGTGGATGAGAAAGGTAGATCTATCTATCTATCTATTAGAATGTGCCTTGTCTGTCTATTAGCCCACCTGTCTGCAACACTGTTTGTTCAAGAACTCCTCTTAAATGTTAAGAGGTGGGCCCATCAAATTTGGTATGCAGCTTCCTCTTACCCTAACTTAAAGCAAGGTCAGGGTTTGGTTGTACCAGGAAAATCAGAAGTGCCAGGAATAGGAATGTTTTGCAGAACATGGAAAGGGACGGGGCAGAGAGGAGGAACATGATACTCAAAGTGGCTACTGGGGGCAGTGTGTGCAGCGGAGAGCTATACTGCAGAGTGACCACTAGGGGCAGCTGCACAACAAGAGAGTGGCCAGCTGGGGCTCGTCATCTTTCCTGCCACCAGACTGGGTAAGTAGCCCCCCTGCCTCAAACCCCTTCCTCACCCCTCCCTGGTCCTTAGCCATAGAGCCAGAGGGGGAAAGAAGAAAGCCTTGCACTTTGGGGGCCAAAAAAAGGACCCCTGCTGGCAGGGGAGGGCTGAGGTGTGAGAAAAGGCCCTGCCAGCTGGGGAGGAATGGGGGGCAAGAAAGGCCTCTCCACCAGACTGGGTAAGTAGCCCCCCTGCCTCAAACCCCTTCCTCACCCCTCCCTGGTCCTTAGCCATAGAGCCAGAGGGGGAAAGAAGAAAGCCTTGCACTTTGGGGGCCAAAAAAAGGACCCCTGCTGGCAGGGGAGGGCTGAGGTGTGAGAAAAGGCCCTGCCAGCTGGGGAGGAATGGGGGGCAAGAAAGGCCTCT